TCATTAACCGACTTAAACTAAACTAAAATAGGCCTGGTTTAAATCAAAGTAAGTGGCTGAGAGGGGTTTGCACCAGTTTAATTAAATCAGGAGGAGGATGACGAGGAGTTCTGTCAGTATAGGAACACCACCTCCCCCGAATCATAGAATCATAGAATATAAGGGTTGGAAGGGACCCCAGAAGGTCATCTAGTCCAACCCCCTGCTCGAAGCAGGACCAAATCCCAGTTAAATCATCCCAGCCAGGGCTTTGTCAAGCCTGACCTTAAAAACCTCTAAGGAAGGAGATTCTACCACCTCCCTAGGTAACGCATTCCAGTGTTTCACCACCCTCTTAGTGAAAAAGTTTTTCCTAATATCCAATCTAAACCTCCCCCACTGCAACTTGAGACCATTACTCCTCGTTCTGTCATCTGCTACCACTGAGAACAGTCTAGAGCCATCCTCTTTGGAACCCCCTTTCAGGTAGTTGAAAGCAGCTATCAAATGCCCCCTCATTCTTCTCTTCTGCAGGCTAAACAATCCCAGCTCCCTCAGCCTCTCCTCATAACTCATGTGTTCCAGACCCCTAATCATTTTTGTTGCCCTTCGCTGGACTCTCTCCAATTTATCCACATCCTTCTTGAAGTGTGGGGCCCAAAACTGGACACAGTAGAATGATGTGCTATACCCAGAAAAGCATTCTGTTGGTGCAGCTGCATTTACACTCGGGGTTTGGTTGGTACAGCTATGGCGTCAGGGGTGTATGTTTTTTCCCCCCACACCCCAAGCAATGTAGCTATGCCGCTATAGGCTTTATTTTTTAAACTTAGTATTTATTGTTTTTATATTAAATATAAACACATAATGAACCAAAATATATAAATACATGAAAAGGGAAATAGCATATAACTAACAAAATTGAAGGTTCATTATGACGCATGGCCAGAACGGGTTAAACATCCTGCAGGATGAATGACTCAAATTCAACTCTTAAAGACATATGGGGAGATGATGTTTGTGTTTCTGTGTATTTACATATATACGGGTAGTGGTCAACAATGTAATCAACAGTCCCCTATGCTGTATTCTGTTAATTCAGAAATCAAAAGAAAATAGCATTTAAATGAAGTATAAACACGGGATACCGCTGTATTCATCTCTTTGAAGTGTATAGCAAATCACCTGTAAATGGTGGAAAAACAGGCAATTGCCTTTTGTTAATCTGTGTGAACAATTAATGATGATGCTTAGGAAATGAGAGCCCACTGTTTCCCAAGGAACTCCAACCTGGCAAAGAAGGCTTGAAATTGTATAAAAAGATCCTTGGGTCCCAATCCTTTCTATCTCAGATCTGCTTAAGCTTCATCAGGGGATGTTTGAGCCGCGAGACTGAGGTCCCAGTTAAGCTGGAGACACCCTGAATATGATGTTGGACATTGGACTATAACCTATGGACTAAATTCTAAAAAAACTCATTGTAACTACAAAGCTCACCATCTCTGCTATATATCTGAACCTCAAGAACTGAACTCGTCTGTATATATAGTGATCTTTTAAACCATACTCTCTCTCTTTTCTTTTTTAATAAAATTTAGTTTAGTTAATAAGAATTGGCTGTAAGCGTGTATTTGGGTAAGATCTGGAATATTCATTAACCTGGGAGGTAATAGGTCTGATCCTTTGAGATTGGTAGAAGCTTTTCATTTATATGATGAAAAAGATTTTCAGTATTCTTCATCATTCTTGACTTGGGTATCTGGGGGGAGGCCTGAGGCTGGGTTACTTTAAGGGAACTGTGTTGTTGGCTTCTGGGCAACAAGTGAAGTAATAAAGAAGCTGTTTTGTGCTGGCTTGGTAACTCTAAGTATTGAAAATATCCACCAGCTTTGGGGATTGTCTGCCCCATTCTTCGCAGTTCACCCTAATTGAGTGACCTCAGCTGGCTCCCCCCCAGGAACCCCGGTCACAGTATTTGTAAAACCTGGGAAAAAACAAAAACAAATAATCAAACTAGAAAACCCTGAACCGATAGAGGTCATGCAGGGGTCATGATAGAGGTCATGACCCCCTGGTCAATTAAAGTGACCAAAATGATAAATGAGAACATAACCTGCGAGTATTGGGGACGAATATATACTAAGCTGCAAAAGTTTGCAATGTATGAGCAGACAGTCTCATTTTTTTTCCCCCCCAGTCATTTCTATTAGACAGTCATTTTTTCCATTAATGCAGCAGTAGAGAGCTCTCTAAGCCTATCTGTGTATGAGGGAGGGCTTGCAGATTTCTATTTTCTCAAAATAACTCACTATAGGTTTTAAGTGTAGACTAGGCTTTAGTTAAACTAGAGCAACTTTATGTGAACATTTAAGATCATGAAGTCTGATTCTACACCAACATTGTGAATTACACAAGCCTGTCCCCTTGTTAGTAGGAGCAGGCTTAGGGCAAGCTGTTACAAAGTCTGAGGAAAGAGTGGGCAGGTAGCTTCTTAAGGTCTGACCTGCCATTAAGAGACTCCTGAAAGAGGTGGCACAACATTTGCCCAAGGGGTGGAGGGGTTAAAGTGGCTAGGCAGGCCAATTAACTGCCCAGGCTACACCCGAGGAAGGAAACAGGGCACAGGCCTCAAACTGGAAATGGGTGAAGCTGGGCAGGAACAGGAGGGGGCCTGTATAAAGCCCAGGAGCTGTGAGCAGCAAGAGGCTGCAAGGAAGTAGTCTGCAGCCACTCCCTGCGGGGAGGGAGCTTGTGCTGGCAGAAAGAGGGGGAAGCCAGATAAGTAGGAAGAAGCCCAGGAAAACAGCAGCAAGGGGTAGGACCATGCAGACCTGGGCTGCTTTTATAGGGTTACTGGGCTGGAACCCAGTGTAGAGGGCAGGTCTGGGTTCCCCTACCAGCCACTGGGAAGTGGTGCAGGGCATTGGAGACGCCTGCCGGACAGTTGATCCAGAAGGATTTTGACTTCCCTGTAAGGGGAGGATCTCAGTGACTCAGCCAGAGGGCCAAACCACGAACAAGAAGCTGCAGGTCTGGGAAAGAGAGGGGTCACAGAGTGAAAGAGATGACGGGTAGAGACACCACCAAAGGTGGGCAGCACCTGGCAAGATCTAATCCCCTGAGGTGCCAGGGGGAAGCACCATGTGCAATGGGTGGATCCCGTGACAGAAAGACTGAGAAAGGCATCAGGAAAAGCAGAAGAGTTCACGCACACAAGATGCTGAATTAATTACAGAGATGGAGCCCTTAATGCAGGAACCTCCTCCTCTCCTCTTCCATCGAGAAGACAGAGTTCTTGGGAGGGAACCCTATTTTCATGGATCTTTTCTTCTTCATGGTCTTCCTCCTCCAATGGCTTGTGAGGAAAATCTGCTTTTTGTTGTGGGGAGGGGTTGCTGTCAGGTGGTGCACATACGTAAGAACAGCCATACTGGGTCAGACAAATGGTCCATCTAGCCCAGTATCCCATCTTCCAACAGTGGGAGGTGCTAAATGCTTCAGAGGGAATGATCCAGCCCCTGTTGTCCAGTCCCAGCTTCTGGCAGTCAAAGGCTAATTGCCATTGATGGACCTATTCTCCATTAACTTATCTAATTCTTTTTTAAACCCAGGTTATATTTTTGGCCTTCACAATAACCCCTGCTGACAAGTTCCACACGTTGACTGTATGTTGTGTGAGGAAGTACTTCCTTATGTTTGTTTCAAACCAACTGCCTATTAATTTCATTGGGTGACCCCGGGTTCTTGTTATGTGGGGGAAATAACACTTCCTTATTCACTTTCTCCACTTTATAGACTCATATTCCACCTCACCACCTCATACTTGTTCCTTTTCTAAGATGAAGTCTTTTTTAATCTCTTTTCATATAAAAGCTGTTCCATATGCCTAAATCATTTTTCTTGCCCTTCTCTGTACTTCTTTCAGGTTTTTTGGGGTTTTTTTTGTTTGTTTGTTTTGAGATGGGGCAAGCAAAACAACACACAGTATTCAAGGTGAAGGCGTATCATGGATTTATATAGGGGCATGATATTTGCTGTCTTATCTACCCACCCACCAGTACAGCTTTGCTCGTCTTCCCAAATTCAGGGCCTGCTGCCAGCTATAAGGGGCTAGGACGATGAGTACAGCCAGGTGTCACAGCAGAAGGCTGCAGTGAAGAGCTGAAGAACACTGCCTCTATTTTCTTGCTTTAAACTTATTTTGTTTGTTTCTACACTATTGTTCTCTAGTCCAAGAAAAACCCAGACTTTTTAAAGTGACTCAGCTAGAAATAAGTGTTGCTGCAATTTGGTTGGTGGGAAGGGCACAGTAAAGAAATAGCAGAAATATTCTTCCATGTTATTGGACAACTCTTGCCTGACGGACCACTAAAGACGATATGCCCAGATTCTGTTCAAGTAGCATCCACATCACAGAATAAGTGCATAGGGGAAGGAGAAACCAGTGACACTTCTGTACAGTCTTGGGATACTGGTTTCTTCCACTGCTAGAGAAAATGGCACTGAAGTCCTTCTATTGGTTTAAATAGAAGAGCAACCTGCATCTGAATCTTTTGGACCAAATTTGGATATTTGCACCTAACAGCAGTGACCTCATGTGGAATTACGGAGGTGCACATTTTTTGTATCATTACAGATTATCAGCATGACCCACACAAAGAGAATTTATTTATAAAAATCTAAGGGCTCCTGTCAAAAGGTTGCAGAGGGTCTTTCAAAACCCAGACACAATGACTGATTATGAACTGCACACCACTATACCAAGTGCACGAGAATGGTTAACAAATGGATGAAGCGCTGGAAAAATCTAGAATAGGAAAAAATAATCCTGCATTTCCAGAGAAATGCACTAGATGAACCAACACATCATCTGTCTAAATGTCTGCCAGATACCATTTTATTTTTACACATTCTTGAACAAACTAAATGCTTTAAATACTTGTAAATCCCAAATATGTGTGATTTAAAAATAAAGCCACATTACAGTTTTATTAAATAAGTTAAGAACAGTTACAAAAATGTGAAAATTTTAAAATTTATTTTGAAATATACTTATAGGCTCACAGTAAAAAGACTGAACAAAACTGGGCAGGCATTAAAGTGCACTAGGACAGTTTACCTGGTCATGCTTAATCCACTAATAAGACTTCATTTTTCTGTTTCTACTCCCTTATACTGTGCAAGACAAAAAGTTTCAAATTTTGGCTTAGTTATTCATGCACCTTTACAAAAGTACTTTGCTTCCTTTGGGCCCAATGGTATGAGCACCCTCAAAACACTTCACAGGATACGTTCAGCCCTAGCATTGGGTGAAAATTTTCAGCTAATAGAAATGTCACCAAAAAATGCCTTTTTCAGATCATCAAAAACTATTCCCGAATTTGGGTAAAATCTAACAGTTTCAGCCAAAACAACTTGAAATTTGTGTGTGGAAAAAGTCAAAACATTTCATTTCAACCATTTAGAAACATTTCTTTCTGACATTTTTCTTCAAAATGGCATTTCATTATCAAATTTGGCCAATTTAAAAAAAAACAAAAGAACATCACTACAAAAGAGGGTGAAAAATACCACAAAACTGCCAAATCAAAACAAAAACACTCATAATGAATATAAACACGAAAAGACTATTTTGACTCTATCTGAAATGTTTCAGTCAACTGGAAATGAAAGTTTTCCAAGTTTCTTGGTTTGATTAAAAATTTTTAAAAATTGGTTTTTTACAAATTTTTTTTTTTTAACTTTTCGGTTCAGCACCCAAACCAAAAAATCCATTATTTGCTCAGTTCTATTCGGCTCTTTGCAGGCTCAGGTTCTAAATAATCATGGGTCTAATGCTCACACACAGCTCCTGCTGACTTGTAAGTGCCCCTAACTTCTAAGTAAATAGGAGATAGAGGTATTGCAAATAGGACGCGGGGACCAATGACAACTATGCTTGCACATTTATGAGCAGAATTTTATCCCATACTCTCCTGTGCATCTTCTTCTCCCTCTGACAACCAAAAGAACAAGATCATCTACAAAATTACTTACAGGGCATTTCCAAAACTGTTTTGCTACTGGGAAATATCAAAATATTTTGCCAAATTAAAAACAATTAGTTTCCCAAAATAGGTTTTGAAGTGGATATGTCACATCTGGATCAAGAAAAAAACCCACCCAGTCGCACTACAGTCCATAGGCAGATTTTTTTGCTCTTCTCTTCCCTAGAGTATGAAGACCAGGGCTAATCTTTTTGTGCAATGGAATTAAGCTTGCATCCTAACAGTCAGTACTCAAACACCACAAGAGTAACAGTCCAAGTATCCACTTTACCAAAGAGGGGAATTACAATATAGCCCTTTGAAAAATACAAACCTTTGCATACATATAGCGATACACACAATTACTCCTGGGGGAATTCTGCAAAATTCTGCGTATTTTATTTGTCAAAATAACACAATATAATCATGCCAGTTTCAATTATTTTGGTAATTTATTTCAAAATAAATGTCAGCAACTATGTCTGTAACAATACAGACAACAAAAAAGATTCAGGAAATGTTTTTTTGACAAATAGATTCCTTACTAGGCACGTTACTACAGAACTCTGAGTAATAATTCATTTAAACTACAATACAGAAACGTATTTCCCACACCCCTCAGAAGCAGTGCAAAGGCCTGGGGGAATCAGGGGTGACTGAGGAGCTGAGGGAGGGGAAAGTAATTGCTGGGAAGGAGCCTAGGTGTGAACTTGGAGCATGTTGGGTGTGGATGGGAGAAGTACGAAACTGCATCTTTTTTGGGCAGGGAGGGATCGTTAGGGAGCCTCCACCATGCAGACGCTGACTGACCCCTAGCCCCTCTCAGTCAGGCAGGCACATCTGCCCCCATCCCCATGTGGCCCTGCACCCCCACTCAGCCACCCCACTACCCCATGTGGCCCTGCACCCCCACTCAGTCCTCGACCCAGTCTGTGCCCCACTAGCCCTTCTGAACCCCAGTCTGTGACCCTTTCCCCAGCAGCCCATGCTGTCCGTCCTCCCATATCACGTGCCTCCTGACCTGGCCCCACGGACAGGGCGCTGTGAGGGAGGCAGCCTCCCCTTCCCTATCCGCAGCTGGGGCTGCTCCCACCTAGGAGCAGCTGCTCTCTGTTCTGGCAACACAACAGCCCCTGGTGGGCAAAAGGAGTAACTGCAGCACCTTCCCAGCAGAATGTATTTTCTGCTGAAAAAAAATTCTGCAAAGCACATAAAGTCTGTGCACGCGTAGTTGGGCAGAATTCCCCCAGGAGTATACATGATCTGCTGTGTCATAATAAATGTCAAATGAACAAGAATTGGACATTTTAAAGGATATGCACAAAAATTTAGCACACTGAGCACAATGTTTCAGTTTAGCATAATCTTAAAATTACCAATAACTGTAACCAGAGGCATAAAAACCTAAATTTAGGAGCATATTCTGCTGTTACACATGCGCTTCACTGACTGCAGATGAACTATAAACTGATTTCAGCATGTTTGCATCAGTCCATATGAGCGCAGAATCAGACCACATACTGCACAACAAAACAAAGTTTTTATACTAATGAAGCAGTGCAACATGCAGCACATTCCCAATTATTGATGTTTTATTCATCTGGAAATTTAGATATCTTCTCAAAAGTTGAATATTACTAACAGTTTCAATGTATTATTTGCTGGTAGTAGGAAAGTCCAATCATTTTACTTCAAATAACTGAAATACTGTTCCATATGGACACCAATGGATTTCAAAAAGTGTAATAGACCAAACTTTGTAAACCATTTTTTGCAAAAAGGAAGAGAATCCAGCTCATGCTGCGTTAGTTGTGTTGACTGTGTCAGGCTCATAAGAGCAAAGAGTAGTAAAAACATACTTTGTCAGTAAAGAGGCAGATGCAACTGAATGCACACAAAAGAAGCAGATGACCTGGAGTATGAAAATGCCATTTTTATATTGTTACTTTTCAGATTAGAACCACACTTTAAAGAGAAGGCTTTTCATGATAGAAAATTTAGACTCAAATTAAATAAATAAATAAGCTTAAGGCAAAGTCTGTATATGAAGTTGTTAATGTTAAAAGATGTTTGCAACAGAAGCAGCAAAGTTGCACAAGGAATCAACCTACAGAACAGAAATATCTGGATTAAGGAAGGTACCATGCTAGTCAAAAAGCTATTTTTAATCTGTTCTAGAACCAATGATTCTGCGTGCTAATGAAATGTCAGATGTTACACCAAGTCTGATCTCAGCACTACAGCAAACATCTTTGCTTGTTAATATGTGTGTGTTCTCTTCTTGACACAGAAGCTGAGTGATCTAGTTGTGCTACACACGTTTAATGTTGTTAATCATACTATGCTACTAAAGAAAGTTAGCACAGAGTAGTCCTGCAGTTGGCAATTCTGTAATTCATCTTAGTCATAATGTACTTTGATGGAAAAGAAAGTCCATTCAACAGGAAGAGTGTTTCATTTAATAGAGAAGAGTGGTTCTGCACGCAAAATAGCATGGAGCATAAGGCCGTAAGAAGAGGCTCATCAGTTTAACAAAGTGGCTGTGTTTTGAATTAGACTTTGGGTGTGCGCTTTTGATACACAAACTGAAGTCCTGAATAGTTCATTACTAGGTGTACAAGAGTCTATCCTAAACACTATAAAAAAAACGCTATAATTTTAAAAACAAAGGAAATACAAATCAGAGATCCAGTTTACTACACGTGACATCTGTTTTGGGTTTACAGTAGTAGCATCAACAGGACTTAAGTAAAAATCCCTTAATAGTGGCAAAATTCTTCAGAAGTAGCTGCCCTTGTGCATCCACTTGAACAGTCTTGGCTCTCCAAAGTTTGCTCAGTTAGAACAAAATCTAATCAGGAGTGCACTGTCTTTCAAGCTTCCACCTGAAGTCACAAGGACTTCCCACAGCAAATTTTATGAAACATGCTCAGTGCAATTTTTTCCTTCAAGGAACCAATTTCAATTAATTGTTGTGGATTTCAAGAAGCAAATTTTATTCCTGGAGATTTTTTGTTTTGTAAATGGCAACAGGCTTTTAAGCCCCACTCCTACAATCTCATTTGAATGAAGGCTCGACTGTGCAAACTGATTGCTGGATCAGGGTCTAAATGTGTAAAGTTCCAAAACATTCTGAGCTACAGTGTTATATGTTTATAAAATGTTTTAATTAAGTTTCTTGAGGCTTAGTGAAAAGCAGTTTCCAAACAAAGGGTCTGATTTTGCACACTTTTACTTATGCAAGTAGTTTCAATGACTGCAGGCCAAGCCCTAGCTGAACAAATATAAAATATATTTTGTATAGAAAATACTAGTATATAAAACATTAAAAATCACCTTGTTTCACTTTGTATCAAATATGAACAGCAACTGTTACTCAAGTGAGTTTTGCTTTTAATACTCTAGTACCCAAATTGTTTCCAAAGAGTTCTGCTTTCCTGAAGTGCCAGTAACTGGGGATGCCCAAATTTTGAGGAAAAGAGGGGGGAAAAAAAGAGACACAATCGAGTTCTCATATGATATCATCAGAACAGAGCCTAAGCTGAAGAAAATAATTACATACCTTTTTTCCACCCTATTAAAGAGGCAAATATGAACAGAAATTAAGAAAACATTGTCAATTCGGTTTTAACCATTGTAGCTCTTTCCTGACTTTTAAAAAGTTCTGAGAGCAGATTTTTTGTCCAACTAGCCCACTTAGGCAGAGGTTGGCATGGGTACGAGCATGTTCAATGTACCACCACTTTTAGGTTTCTCTGCTGTAGCAATTCTGTTCAGTTTGTCAACCTGTGTCTGCCAACTGGGTATTTTCTTTGTAGTCATATGACGACGGGCGTGTTTTGTCAAGTGATCACTGCGCATGAAACGACGGTCACACACAGGACAAGCAAACTTTTTCTCTCCAGTATGAGTTCTTCGGTGGCGAGAAAGTTCATCTGAGCGGGCAAACTTTTTGTCACAGCCTTCCCAGTTACAGCTGAAAGGTTTTTCTCCTGAATGGATATGAGGGAAAACAAAACAAGGTTATTTTTACGATAAAAAAGAAAATGGCTTTAAGAACTAATAATTTAGACTCCAGCCTTTCAGACTCTTAAGCACATATATAAATTTATGCACACAAGTCCCATAAGATTAAGCATGTGCTTAAGTGGCTGCTATATCAGGGTCTTAGACAATAGTACATTTATTGCTTTTGTTAATTTTCTGATTTAACATTTTAAAAAAATGTTGCCAAACAATTCAGAGTTTAGGGGAGAATATTTTTGCATAAAGCTACAGTATCTTTTGACTGTGAACTTTGAGAAATGAACCCCTCTAGTAGGCTGTACTAGAAGTCAGAGGCTGTACCATGTCATTAGAAAGTACTGTAATCTCAAATAAAGTCTTGGATTTGATCTCAATGTCATAATAAAATGCTCAATTCTTCAAAAGAACACAGCAACTCAACTGCTAATAACAATTAAGGACATAATTACTAAGATTTTGGATCATTTACTGAGCTATGTTTATCATTAGATTTGGGCAGTTCATCAATTCCACCAAAAAGAAGTTAAATTTTATTACTCATGTGGTGTGAAACAGAAGTAATATAAGGGATCATCCTGCATTCCTTTCACAAACTAAAACTTCCATTGGCTTCATGAGCATTTTGGATGCTCAAGGAACATAAGTGTGAGCTCAGAGCTTTAACATCACCTTTACTAGTTTCTGATTACTATATGTGTGTAATACACAGTTGTGCAATTTTAGAGCTATTCTAATAGCAAGTGATCTAATACCCACTTTTACCCAGCGATAAACATTGACTATCCAAAATATACTTACAGATAAATCTGAAAACATGTGCTCCATTCCACAAGGAAGCACTAGAAAGAATTCTTACGTATTAAGAGCTAAGTCCTTCCTCTATTGCACAAGATAATCTTCCTCTCTCTCAAAGCAGGAGTAACAGAGGGAAGGGTAGGTCAGCTATTGTTCCTCCTGGCCTTCTGCAAGCTCTGTTTGCTAGTTAAGAATCATAGTTAGGCCAGTGTGCTCCAGTTCCCCTGTATACATGCTGCAGTCTTCATGTTAGAAGGGATGCACACAGCTTCTTTTCAAACCAGAGGAAAGATGTTCTGTAAGGCACACTGCCCTTATCCCTGGGCCATCCTGCACCAGGATAACTCAGGAACCCACTATACCAGCCATAAAGGCTCTTCCACTCGCCCACACACCCTAAAGGGCAACAAGGAAGGGGAATATTCTACCTCTGAGTCAGAGATCCCCAATCTGTGGGGCTCATTCCCCTAGGGGGCACCAAGAAACGTTTGGGGGAGCCACGGCTGGGGCCAGGGTCAGCCCTGATGGGGGGGAAGAGCACAACCCAGCTCCACTCTTGGGCCTGACCCCGGCTGCCAGCCCCATGCCTGGGGCTCCACTCCCAGCCCCAGCTCCACAGACAGAGGTAAGGGCGGGTACGCGAGGTAAAAAGTTTGGGGACCAATGCTCAATTTTCTTGTTTAGGGGAATATCGACTCCCTGAATTTAAAAAGATAAATTGTCAGATTAAGTGGAAATTAAAACAAGATTATGTGCTGAATGTCCATAGAGTTAGACCAAACTCAGGGGAAAACCAGGGAAGAAATACATCTTAAAATAATCTCCCCTGCCCCCTCCCTCCAAAATAAACAAATATAGCACTCTGGCACCCTTTTAATGAGAACCCAGCATGCATGACTTGCAACAGACCAGGATTTCAGAAGGGAGAGAGGAATTATTAAAACATACTTGGTAAAAATATATTTCTGCTCTGACTGCTCCCCAAAAAACAGTCCACAGGTATTTGTTATGTTCAATTTTCATTTCAGTTTAACAATTCTGTGCACACAGTGGTCACAAACTAAAGCTGATCAGTTTTATTTAACCAACAGTTCTATTACCCAGCACAGTGGAATTCACTACAGCTCAGGATCTGGTGCTCATTCTTTTAGTGAAGTCAGAATGCTAAAAAACTGGAAAAAAATACATAATTCCCTATTATCTTAAACAGGTGTAGAGAGTGGATTCTGTTACGTATAGCCTGATGAACCATAAAAAGACAGACACAAAAACTACCTGTAGGATGATGTGTCACAACACCCCCTCTCCAAGAAAAATGGTTTATGTAATTCCTTCAGATCATATTAAATATAACACAACTCAAGTTTAAAAAAAAAAAACATTTTGGACCAAGTTTTGCTTTAATTTACACTCTGAAATTCTACTGATGTCAGTGGAGTTAATCTGGGATTAAATTACAGAAAAAAATTGTCCCTTTTTTGTCTGTCCTTGAAGAATGTCCTCTACTCTCCCACAATATATGGGAAGGTTTCTATGCCACCCACTTACCCCTCTCAGAATCAAAATGCAGAATAACATTCTTCCAACAATACAAGTGAATATTCTTGTAACAAAGGACTTGCCCGCCATACGCACCAGTGTGAGTACGAAGATGGGCTTTGAGGTGGGAACTTTTGAAGTAAGTTTTCCTACAGCCTGGGAAGTTGCAAACGTAATTTCTCCTCCTTGAGAAGTCCATTTGAGATGCACAGCTTTGACCAGAAGCAATAAAAACTGGTGCAGGAGCAAGAGGCAATAACTTGGTGTTTCCAACAGTCATTAGAGTTTGTTGGCACTGAGGTGTCTGTGCAACAGCAGTCTGTGGAAGAACCAACATAACAGTCCCCTGAGGCACAGAAGATCCCATGAGAACAGGCTGAGAAACTGGGGCTGTTTGGGGTAAAATAGGTTGGACAGTAGTTGCGACTGTCTGTGTAGGGGGTTTTATAAAGGCAGAAATCATACCTCTTTGCCTGTTAAAAGGGATCATTTGGCAGATGACTTGGGGGTTTGAAACAGGGGTAGGTAGCAGCTGGGTGGCTTTTTTCTGTAGGTAGTTGTCACAATTCTTTGGTAAACAAGTCCGCGGTGAAACAGGCCTTATTGGCTGTTGCCCTTTATTGGTAGTGTTACAACTGGAATTGTGCAAATAAGGCTGATGTACTGATGAAGTATCACTAATTAAACCATCAGCAGTATCCATGTCCTGTGAAACTCTGGAATGTCTTCGGTCTTGTGCTTCAGACCAGTCTGTGGAAGTGCTGCAATTGCCTGAAGTTACCTTTGTTTTAACTTGCACAGCAGGAATGTGTGGGTAAGCAGAACTATCGCCTGTATGACGTATAACACTGGTTGCCATGGCCCTGCAAGGCTGAGGGGCAGGTGGCTCAGATATTGCTGACTTCTGACTGGACTGCCTCTCCACGTTTATGACAGATGGTTTGGCTATGGCAGATGCACAGTTTGTAGCGGTGACTACGCAAACAGATGTATTTGCCATGACTGTCCTTGGTTTGGAATAAGTGACTTGTGAAGAAAGGAGCATTGTAGTCGATGGCTCAACAAAATCAGGGCTGTGGGGTGGGGTCATACACTAGAAAAATAAAACAAAAGTATACAAACATAAAAACAGTCATGTGTTTTCATAGTGGTTATCAACCTTACTTTAAAAATAAAGAACACACAATGAAGATCTAGAGCATAATGAAGAGTCTAAAGACCCATATTTTAGGAAGCTATGACTAAAACATTAACTTCTTATAGAGTGGCTCTTCTGGAAAGTTCAAAAGCCTGCTAGTATCAAGTAAACAGTGATGCAGCCACAATACTGCAGGCATCAGCTCTTTAGGCTCCAACACCCATTTTCACCCCTCAGATAATGGATGCATCTATTTAAATACTGTTCACTGTGCGCTGTTCTTAGAAAACAGGATAGCAATTCATAGTGACATTATACCTGTTTAATTGCAGGTTTGCAATGACCTAAATCTTTTATTAATTATTATTCTGTCAGTTGGAAGCTCATCTTGGAATAGATATGTTTGGAACTGCTCTCCCCTCTCTTCTTGAGCCACTTCTCCCTCTTCCCTCCACTGCTGCTGAGAATATATGCCTCTTCCCAACACTGCTGCAGAAGAGACCAGCCACTGTTAGGAGATGAGAATGTGACCTATGAGGTCTATCAGCCAGTCATCACCTCCTCTCAATCTTCCTCCTCCTTTTTCCTAGACTTTTATTATGCAAATGAACTATCAGGTAAAATGAATTTCTTAACATTCTGAAAGATTAAAACGAATTAGCTTTTTTTCCAAGTTCTTCTTGGATATCACCTACAACAATACCTACATAAAAAACACAAGAGAAGCTATACTGGGTCAGACCAAAGGTTCATCTAGCCCAGTATCCTGTCTTCTGACTGCGGCCAATGCCAGGTGCTTCAGAGAGAACGAACAGAACAGGTAATCATCAAGTGATCCATCCCCTGTTGCCCATTCCTAGCGATCTGAGAATCAACTGTCATCTGAAGTGGACCAGAACTTTGGAGAAATAATCAGGTGCATGTACAAACGCACAGGCTATGGAAGTATCATGATGAAGTGGCAAGTTTAATTTCAACTTGCTTTCATGCTTTATCATAGTGTTTAACAACATTTCTCCTGCATTCCAAGGATTCTTTTTTGTATTATCTTTGCAGGTAAATCCATACAGAGTCTACTCCTGGGGGAATTCTACAACATTGTGCAATGCAGAATTTTGCAGAAATTAATGCTCTGTGCACAGAATTTCCTTTCCCCACCACAGAAATGGGCTGTAATGCTGCTGCCTGCCACTAGGGGCCACTGGACCCGGCAGAGCCCACCTCAGGTACAGAAAACACTGCCAGGGGAAGGGACCAAGGGAGCTACAGGGTTGGGGGGGGGGGGGGGGGGCGCCAGGAGGGGGAGGAGAGAGAGAGTGTGAGAGAGGGAGAGAAGAAACTCCACACAAGCTGGGGACTGAGCATCAGGCTCTTTCTCCCTCTGGATCCCTGGGCTCTGATGGGTAGTGGGGTGGCTGTCTGGGCTGGGGGAAGCCCGCAGCTGAGGTCTGTGGGGGAAAGGGATGGGTTTCTGGGCAAGGGGAGGCCCCGCAGTTGGTCTCTGGGGGGTAGGGGATTTGGGTGTATTGGCTGTGGGGGGCCCAGAGCGGGGCTCCGAGTGGGAGGGGTTGTGGGTGTCTTCTGGCCCCCTGGCGGGGAGGGGGGGGGGAAGAGGGGGCAGAGAAACAGGAAATGGTTTTGTCACAGGGGTTTCTTTTAACTCTCTACTGCTGGGGGAATTGTGTGTGTTTCTCTGTCTGTATTGTTGCAGACATACTTGCTGACAGGTAATTTGAAATAAATTACAAAAGTACCTGCAACTGGTGTGATTATGTGGTGTTATTTTTGCCAAAATTGGAAGAATTCTGAAGAATTTTAAAATATTGTGTGCAGAATTTTTATATTTTTGGTGCAGAATTCCCCCAGTGTCCTCTTACTCAAAGTACTAAAGAGAAACCTACAATAAACTATCCAAATAAGCTTGCCCAGGACATCAGATAAAATGAACACTTGATCAACGTTTTTCTACTTGGCTTTAAACAGGAGCTCAAAACATTTTGTTTGTATCATCACATCTATTACTGAAGAGATGACGGAATTATCCAAACTGAGAAATGTATACTTTACATGAAAATAGTAATTACATATACAGACAAGTTAGGGGGTAAACATCACTTTTGACAATAATCAGCATTTAAAAAACAAAGATACGGCTCTCTCCCCAAAGACAACAAAATTATTCAGTATAATGGGGATATAATAATAATAATATAAATGTTATCTGTGGTCATGCATATTCATTTTGAATTTGTTTTTTTCTTACCAGTGTAGACAAAAAGTGATAATCCTTTGGTAATTCAGAGGCTGCTTCAGCATGCATTGTGAAGTCACCTGAATCTGAGATGGGCGTAAGTGGCCTTATCTTTAATAGGTCACCTTTCTGTGATCTTTGACCCCAGGAGCTCATACAAACAAGCGCCTCGACTGCTTCTATGTCATTCTGCTCTAAGGTGCTGCACGTAGACCTTTCACTGTCATGACGCTGTCTTTCACGTATAGATTCATATATGTCCACAATGTCAACCTAAAGGCAATCAGATCATTAGTTGTTAGGACAAGTCAGAAAAAAAAAGTTACCACCACCCACATATTGTTTGCTTATAATGAAGGTCACTTGAAACTCATTGTATGCCCAATGCAAGATTTTTTTTTAAAACCAACTCAGTTATTCAATATGCAAACCTTTCCCCTCCCCCTCCTACCAGAGTACATCTTATCTCCCCACTCCCACCCCAACTAGCCTTGCAGAAGAATGACTCACTAGAAAGGAATTGACCCACGTAGCTCAAATTTCCAGACTAAGGTTCTTGGATTATTGTTGCTCTGAGTAAACATGTTCTGCACACGCACACACATACACAAAGTGACTCCATCCCCTGCTTTGTGTAGGGAGGGCCATTTTCTGACTTGTCATGAGGGTTTTATTTAGCATCAGTCTAATATTTACTGCTGTTTAGAAGAATGAGATAAGGACAGAGAGTCAAGGGCTCCCAAGTTCCAAGCACAGGTCTGCTGCTTACTCAAGCTACGTCTACACTACAGCATATGTAGGCATAATTTATGAAGCTCAGGGGTGTGAATGAATCACCCACCTGAGCGACATAAGCTACACCAACGTAAGCACCAGTGTGGAGTTTCTCCCACTGACATAGCTTCTGCTGCTCGCAGGAGGGCTGGAGTAGTTAAGCCAAGTGCAGAGTTCTTTCATGTTGGCTTAGAGCTATACCTGCCTGCGCCGTTCTAAACTCTCTAGTGTAGCCGTGCCCTCTCAGTGTATAAATTTGGCAAGTCATTTATCCCCCATATTATAGATGGAGGAAATTGAGGCAGAAAGATGCACACATAGGAGGGCACTATGATAACTGGATGTGCGTATGGTGCTCTATGGTAAAGCACTATGTAAGAGGTAGATATTATTATTAGGGCATTTGGGGATGGGAGAGGAACCCAAACATCAATTTGTTTACATAAGCAAATACTGCATTAGTGTACTTTTTGGGGGGTTAAAAATCCTGATCTTTCCTTCAGTGAAAACATATACAAGTTTTGCAAATGCTCACTGTGTGTGCTGTAATGACTCAAGTAGCCACATGTTGTTGCTCTAACACTTATAGTCACTTTTCCCCACATAAAATGAGTGATAACAAAAGGGTCCACTCCACCACTTCTTGCATACCCAAAACTCTAAACAAAATCAACTATAATTCTGAGTGTGTGAGGACAGCAGAATCAGGCCTTTCTTTAGATTATAAACTAATCTAGGGATTAGTTAGGGACAATGCTTAGATACTGCAATGATAGGTCCTGCTTGAAAAAAAAACTAAAGCAGATTAGATGGCATTGGGTGAAATTATGCCCCCACTGAAGGTCAATGAAACCGTGCCATTGACTTCACTAGATCCATAGTGCCATGCAGATACACATGTGTAATAAATACTATGTATTATGTACACAGTTGTGTGGCAGATACATTCAGCGCAATGGATCTAAAAAGCAGGCATTTATCAAATCCATAGAGTACTCATCCACCTGACAAATCATCCCAGATTTAAAGGAAGCCTCAAGGTTCAAAAAACAAAAAATTCCAATTTAAAGAGTCCTTAAACAGACTAACTGCTCTGAAAATTTTAGAAAAATTTCCCACAGCTCTTGAAAAATCATCTAATTACTTTATATAATTATTTGATTACAACATGAACAGTAGAAACCACCAATCAGGACCAGGTCTCCACTGTGCTGGGCACTAGGCAAACTCATGAAGACACAGGAGCTGTCATTCTTTTCAAGTCTCCGCACTCCAGGCAAGAAATAGCTTTCCAAAGCCCTCCATCCACACCACAAAGAGGTTACGCTCCACGCGGGGGATTTCCTTTAGACGGGCTGCGTTCGTGAAATAAAGGCGGTAACTAAACTCACAGCCGGCGCCGAGAGGAGCCCGACAGCTTGTCCCGAACTCACCCCGCGCGCAGGCACTGTCTGCAGGGGAAGTCGGCGCCTGCAAACAGCGGGCGAGCTGGCAGCGGCCCCAGCTGCTGGGCGTCTGCCGGAGCAGCAGCAGCGCCACGGGCCGGGAGATTCCCCAGGGCCAGACCCTGAATGTTTGTTTTCAGAGGGGGCCGATCCTCACCGGTCTCGTTTGCCCGCTCAAGAGGCCAAGAGGAGGAGGCCGGGCTCCCAGGCAAACCTGACCAAGCCCCGCAGCCGAGCCCAGCGGGCTGGAAGGAGGGAAAGCCCCACCCCCAGAGGGGAGGGGACGGCGGGGTTTCTCCCCACCCCGCGGGGCCCGCGGCCGCCGCCCACTCCGAATATAACTCCGGGGCAACGTGATGCAACAAAATACCCTGCGGACGGCGCGCGGGCTCCGGCTAGCGAGCGCCAAGCTGCAGCGGAGCCCGGGCTGGGCGGGTGCCCGGGGAGGAGGAGGCTGAGGGGGTGCAGCGCGGCGCGGCACCACCCGCAGCTGGGACAGCGACGGAGCTGTGCTGCCCGCCCCGCCCTGGGCAGCTGCAGCGCGCCCCCCCCCCCCGGTGCACGTACCGCGCCGGGGGTCAGCCTCGCCCTCTGCCCCACGCCGACGGCAGCGGTGCGACCACGGGGGGCGGCCCCCGCCCGGCCAGGGCGCTGGGAGGGGAGGCCGGGCTCACAGGCAAACCACGCGGGCGTTCGCCCCCGTGTTCCTCCCGGGGCCAGCGGCGCGGGCCACAGACGCCCCCACCCCAGGGCATGCCCGGGGCCGGGGCAGGGCCACGGGGAGCGGGCTTAGCAGCGCCCCTGGCAGTAGGTGGCCGGCTTGCTGCCTCCGGCGCCCCACGAGGAGCCCCGCATCTCGGGCGAGCGCGACGCGCCCATCACCCTGGCATCTGGGCACGGGCGAGCCCTGGGGGAGAGCGAACCCGCAAGGGAGAGCGGCTGGGCAGCCGTTCCCCCAGTGCCCCCCTCCAGCCCAGGGCAGCGCCGGCCGCGGGTACTCACAGCGGGGGCTTCTCCCATCTCCGAGCCGGGCATGGCGAGGCTCCTGCAGGCAGCAGCGATGTGACAAAGGCAGCAGCCAGCGCCGCCTCCGCTTTCACCTCCCCCGCCCGCGGGGCCGGCCGCGCAGCAGCCCAGGCTGGGGTGGGGGTGGGGGGGGCATACTAGCTACTCCGTGCACTAGGCGTGAAGGGGGAGGAAGGAGCGGGCAGCCCCCGCACCAATCGCAGCCTGGCCTGGCCCGCGCCGGACCAATAGGCAGCCTCGGCCGGCGTGATCGGGGCGTGCAGCCCGCCTGATAGCAGGAAGGACTCAGCGTGGGCATGTTCGCGGCGGCGGCTCACTCTGAGCCACCCGCTGGAAACTAGGGGAAAGGTCAGCACGGGGAAAGGGGGGCGGGGCTGTTTGTGGCTGAGCGGCGGCCAGCCCGGGAATGCCTGCGCGCGCGCGCGGGGTGTCGGAGAGCTGCTGCGAGCTGCAAATCCCTCCGGTCCCCGCGAGGGAGCCCGGCTCCAGCTCCAGCCCGTGAACGTGAAAGGGGCTACGCCTCCCCCAGCCAGCACAGAACGCACCCCCCCCCCCCACGTACACAACTCTTGTTTTTAGAAACAAGAGCTCTGTCTGTGTCAGCTCCAAAGCTTGTCGCTCACCAACAGAAGTTGGTCCAATAACAGATATTACCTCACCCACTTTGCGTCTCTAACATTCTTGGATCAGCTACAACAAGAGTGCATACAAACAGTAGTATTAACTCTTTCGCAGCTGAGCAAAGCATGTAAGAAAGGAGAGGGCGGGTCCTTTTCAGAACTGCCCTGTCTGCACCGGCGCCAGGGACAGCACTACTAATTTGTAACCCTTCGCAGTGGGGGCTGGATGGCAACCACCGTGTCTCGCAGCCCCTTGTTCCTGGAGGACAGCCAGGGCTCCCACTTTCCCCGGCACCCCAGAGGAAGTAGCAGTGCTGGCCTGGCAAGGGACCACCCCGTGGAGCTGGAAAGCTTTCTTCCCCCTGGACTGATGGCAGAGGGTCCAGCGTTTCTACTGTGGGGTTTGGGACACCTAGCTCCAAGGTCAGGTACGAGTTTGACTCAGCCACATCGATATCACTCCGGTATTGCCAACCCCAAATGTTCAAAAATCGGGAGTCAGGCCCCACAAAAATCATGACATTAGCTCAGAAATCATGAGATTAGTACAGCGAGGGGTTTTCTTGACCTTCAGATTTTTGAGCCCTTAGGATAGGTCTACACTGCAATTACACAGCCGCAGCTGGCCCATGCCAGCTGACTCTGGCTAAGGGGCTTGAGCTAAGGAGTTGTTTAATTGTGGTATAGATGCTCCCTCTTGGGCTGCAGCCCAGGCTCTGGGGCTCTCACACCTCACACGGTTCTTGAGCCCAAGGCCCCAGCCTGAGCCCAAACATATACACTGCAATTGTCCCCACAGCCCGAGCCACCCGAGCCCAAGTCAGCTGGATGTCTAATTGCTGTGTAGGTGTACACACGGGGTACATTTAGGTCACATTTTCAATCTTTTCTTCACCGCCAAAAGGGCTAGAAACTTCACTTTTTTTAACCTGATTTTTCTATCATAACCTTTCAGAAATCCGGCCTTTTTTCTCCAAATGGTTTAAATGCTTGTCCACACCTTGGCCTCCAGTCTTGATTACTGCAACCTCCTTCTCTCAAGCTTACTTGATATCAATATCTCTTCCTTCCAATCCAGCCAAAATACAAGTTAAAAAGATTTTCCTAACCAGTCTATGAGACACACTACTTTCCTCTTTGAATCTCTCCCCACTGCCTGCTACATCAAATGCTCCTCATTCTCATCTGGAGAATCTGTACAACTTTGCCCCAGCCTACACCTCAGATCTGATTACAGGTTATATGTTTCCCCTTGTTTCCTTCTCTCTACCAATGATTTCAGCTCTGTCATCCTTTCATTTCCTTCCCATCTCCATATCTTCTTCTCTGCCACTTCATATGTAAGGAACAACCTCCTAGTCCCTGTGCATCAGCCTCTACATTTGCATTCATATGCCTCATGTCTTGGTTACAGGGCTAATTGTACCTCTGACCCCTTCTCTGATCTTCCTGAGGTATCCCCTCAGGTGTCAGGGCAAGTAAGTCTTTACCTCTCCTGGGGAGGAATCCTGCAATTCTCCCACTCTCAGACTGGATCCTGAGCCACAGTACCTTGTGGATCAACCCTGATTACCAAGTCCTGCTGAGTTTGGCACCTGCAGTTTTTCCCCTCAGGAGCTTGTAACCAACAGTAAATAGTGACCAGCGTGCCTTCTCAGACCACTTATTGTTTAATCATAACAGTAAGAACAAAGCATAACATGGATGAAAAAGGGTTTTAAAATAACCAGAGGTCTATATACACATGTATGTTGCCTGGGGAAGTTCTATGGCCTGTGTTATACAGGAGGTCAGAAAGGGCGTCTCGCACTCCCCGGTCCCTACCCATACGCAAAGTACGCAGCTGCATAGGGTACCAGGAAACTTGGGGCTGTGTGCTGCTCCAGCCCCTGCTCCACCTCTTCCCCATGGCCCCCTCTCCTGCTCCACCCCAGCCCCGCCCCCACTCCAGGCCTTCCTCTGAGGACTGCAGCAGGGATTGGGCCCACCCTGCACTCACTGGTGGCGGTAAGTGGAGTGACCCACCCACAGCCTGCTCCACGCCGCTGGCTCCCAGTGGTGCTGCTGGTAAGTGCTGTGGGGCGGTTCCTCCTGTCCCCCAAGCCCCAAGGCTGGGAGCCGGGGGAACAGAGAAGAACGGGCTGGGGCCGGGTCACTCTACTTCTCACCGCCCCGTGAGTGCAGGGTCGGGCCTGCCCTGCACTCACCGGGTGGCAGGAAGTGGAGCAACCCAGCCCCAGCCCGCTCTGATAGTTGTCATACATTTTAATAGAGCAGCTCCACATCCTTCACACCTCAAAAAGACTTGTTTCTTCTGTGAAGCCCACCTTTGCTAACTCATGTCAGCCATCTCCACCAGTTAAAAAAATGATTGTCAGAGACCAAGATAAAACTAAATAATAATAATAATAATAAAATTATAATAATTTAAAAAAAATTGCCACCTTCCTCTGAGTTTCCCAATGCACTGAGTCTTACTTGTACCTCTTGAACTAAAAATGCCTTTGGTCAAGAACTGTCTTTTTATTTATATTTTGTACAGGGCCAAATACATCAACCATGCTTAAAAATAATAAGAACATCAGAACGACCCTACTGGGTCAGACCAAGGGTTCATCTAGCCCAGTATCATGTCTTCCAGCAGTGGTTAGTGCCAGGTGCCCTAGAGGGAATGAACAGAACAGGTAATCATCAAGTGATCTATTCGCTGTCGCTCATTCCCAGCTTCTGGCAAACAGAGGCTAGGGACACCATTCCTGCCTATCCTGGCTAATAGCCATTGATGGACCTATCCTCCATGAATTTATCTAGTTCTTTTTTGAACCCTGCTATGGTCTTGGCCTTCACAACATCCTCTGGCAAGGAGTTCCACAGGTTGACTGTGCATTATGTGAAGAAATACTTCCTTTTATTTGCTTTAAACCTGCTGCCTATTAATTTCATTTAGTGACCCCTCGTTGTATTATGAGAAGTAGTAAACCACACTTCCTTATCTACTTTCTCTATACAAGTCATGATTTTATAGACCTCAATCATATCTCCTCTTAGCCATCTTTTTTCCAAGCTGAAAAGTCCCAGTCTTATTAATCTCTCCTCATACGGAAGCCGTTCCGTACCCCTAATCATTTTTGTTGCCCTTTTCTGAACCTTTTCCAATTCCAATATATCATTTTTTGAGATGGGGCAACCACATCTGCACACAGTATTCAAGATATGGGTATACCATGGATTTATATAGAGGCAACATGATATTTTCTGTCCTATTATCTATCTCCTTCTTAATTATTCCCATCATTCTGTTCACTTTTTTGACTGCCGCTGCACATTGAGTGGATGTTTTCAGAGAACTATCCACAATGACTCCAAGATCTCTTTCTTGAGTGGTAATAGCTAATTTAGACCCCATCTTTTTATATGTATAGTTGGGATTATGCTTTCCAATGTGCATTACTTTGAATTTATCAACATTAAATTTCATCTGCCATTTTGTTGCCCAGTCAGCCAGTTTTGAGAGATCCCTTTGTAGCTCTTCGCTGTCTGCCTGGGTCTTAACTATCTTTAGTAATTTTGTATCATCTGCAAATTTTGCCACTCCTTTTTCCAGATCATTTATTAACATGTTGAATAGGACTGGTTCCAGAACAGACCCCTGGGGGACACCACTATTTACCTCTCCACTCTGAAAACTGACCATTTATACCTACCTTTTGTTTCCTATCTTTTAACCAGTTACCAATCCCATAATAGTATTATAATAATTATATAATAAAAATAATAATAACACTAATATTAATAAACAATAACATTAATACACACAAAAACTAAATTAAAAGACCATTATTAAGATTTCAAAGTCAAGCACTCGAAAGTTAGGACATGCCAAAATTAAAGCTGACTGTACAATCTTAATTTAGCTCTCTGTGAAATTTTCCAAAAAAAAAAAAAAAAAGACAGTCTGAGGCAGATAGCTGGCATGGATAATTTCAGCCCAAATTGTTAAAGTTTGGCAAAGTTATAAGCAACTGAAAATAGAGTCTTATAATGGGCAGTGTTAGGCAATCTTAATAATAGTGTCTCTACCAGTCCCACCTATTATAAATACTCACCCGATGAGATTTTGCAGGTGAAGTAGATTGGCAAAGTGTATCAAATGTCCTAAGAAAGACAGCAGAGGGAAGAATTTTGAGGCCAACAGACCATTAGGAAACAATACACAGGTACAGAGCTGAATCTGTTTTTATGCCCTCTGGGCAATAAGCAACACAGTATCCACCAGCCAGTATCCACACAGTAACTCCGTTTTCACGACTGCCATTAACTGCTGACTCTTCTAATGCACAGCCCAAGGAGAAACAAGTGAGAAATATTGGGAAAGTAAACCAAAAAGGAGTCTTTTAAAAAAAAGAGAAAGAGAACAATCTGCTGCACTTTTGGATAAGTGTGGGTGGAACGCAATTAGAACTTATTTG